TACTGAAGTAGCAATCGTGTCCTGGCCGAAAACTATTTTAGCGCTAGTAAGCGCTTGCTAGCGCTTTTTTCTGCCAAACGCACCCATTGTTCGACAGCTTATTTTACGTGGCCAACCGTGACTCATGTACCTAATGACTGTTTTAAGAACCGTATCTTGTTGTGTCACTTGTGCAATATCGCGGATTGTCGTCGCCGGTGCGTCTCATTCATAAACTTAACTACGTAGTAAGAGTCTAAATCGTTATCGTGGCATTCCGATGCGTTTCTACACGTTAAGGGTAAGCGAGAAAAATAATCTGCAACTACGTTTTTATCGCTCGACACATACTGGACAGTGTAATTAATATTATAGCCGATAACATTATAGCATATCGCTGTAATCTCAGCGCTGTTGTAATCGGTATGCCTGTTTTAGTATCGAAAATAGAAACTAGAGGCCCATGGTCGGTTTTAAGAATAAACGGATCGCTTCGACCATACAAAAATTGATGAAATTTCTTCACCCCGAATATAATGGCAGTTGCCTCTTTCTGAATTTGGCTGTAGTTACGTTCACTGGTGGTGAGTGAACGAGACGCAAATGCAAGGGGGCGTTCGTGACCGTCGTCTGATCGTTGTGATAGAACGGCGCCTAGGCCCCCGGGTCCGGCGTCTACGCACAGTACGAGTTGTGCTGTGGGCTCGAAATGCGCTAGCACGCGTTCGAGCGCCAGCTCGCGGCGCACTGCCGCCATGCTACGCCTCTGACGCTCACCCCACTCCCGTGGCGTATCGCGACGCAATAGCTCGTGAAGAGGATGGAGTAGTGAAGAAGCATTTGGTATAAAATTCCTATAATAATTGACCATGCCTAAAAATCTCTTAACTTCGGTTACGTTAGTCGGCTCGGGCGCATTAATGATAGCGTGAACTTTTTTCCGAGTCAGTCTTTAAGCCGTTTTTATCTATGACATAGCCTAAATATTTTACACTATCCTTAAAGAAATTACACTTGTCTCTCTGTAGTCGCAACCCGGCGTCACTTAACCGACTTAATACTTCTTTTGATCTTTTAATGTGGGAATCACTATTGGGGCCAGTTATAAATATATCATCGAGCCATACGCTGACTCCATCTATGCCAGAGAGAAGTGTCTCCATAGCCTTTTAAAAGATTGCAGGTGCATTAGATAAGCCATACACCAATCTTGTATATTTAAATAACCCTTTATGGGTATTTATTGTTGTAAGTAACTGGGATGGCTCATCTAAAACAAATTGATTATAAGCATTCTTAAGATCAAATTAACTGTCATTTTACCAATTAATTTTATCGTTCGCCACCCCCAATTTTAGCAAATACCTCTTCGATTCGAGGTAAGGGGTATCTTTCAATCAAAAGATCTTTATTCAGCGTGACCGAGAAATCTCCTGCCATTTTTATTTTATTGTTTTCTTTCAAAACAGGTACAATAGGCGTGGCATACTCTGATTGGTCAATTGGGACTAAAATACCTAAGGTTACTAAACGGTTCAACTCTTCTTCGACTTTATCCCTAAGGGCAAAGGGTACGGTTCGTGGCTTGAAAAACTTACGTTTTGCATTTCCCTTTAAACGTAAACATACTTTAAATTTATTGAACGAACCTAACTCATCCTGACACAAATTAGGGAACTTTTGCAATACATTGTTTACATTCTTATCAATACACATAGACATTATGTTAGTTGATATAATTAAATTAAACGCGAACATAAAATCTCTACACAGCAGGGGAGGGCCCCCATTTTTAACAACATAAATTTTTATTTTGTGTTTAACTTTATTATAACAAGCTTCAATCCAGAAATATCCAAGTGAAGAGATTTTATGCCCATTATACAAACACATTTTTATATTGCTGTTATTTAAATGATAATCGGAAAACTTTTCAGCATACAATTTTTCAGAAATTACACAGCTGCTCGAGCCTGAATCTAGTTCCATTGTTAAGTTGTGATTGCCCAAAATTAAATTTATTTCAATTGGTTTATCATCGACGTACTTTAAGTTAAAGTTCTGGCATTCTACGCAACCTGTGCCCTGACCTCATTAGCGCCGCATTCCTGTTCTGATTGAATGTGATAAGCGTTATTTTTATTTTTAGCACAAACTTTCTTTAAATGCCCTTTTATACCGCACTTTTGAAACTTATAACTTTTGTACCGGCATTTATCACTGTAATGATTTTTCATACCACAAACTGAACAGGAGCCAGTTTCGCGTCGCGATGTCCCAGCGCCGACACTGTCATTGCCACTGCCGTCACCTCCACTTCCGCGAGCGAACTGGTGAAATTTTGCACGATACACAGGCTCTTCCTTGATGAGCCCAAAATCGCTCGTATTTAGCATCACCTTTACCTCTCTTGCGCAAGCAGCTTGTTCCCCTATTTCAATCGCCTTAGTTAGCGTAAGTGTTGTCGGTTTCTGCTCGAACAGCTTGTCGCGTTCCTAGCCAGAACCCAGGCCTAGGACAAAACGATCTCTCAGATTCGTTTCCAGGGCGTCGCCGAATTCGCAATAGCTTGCTAGTCCTCTTAATCGCGCCGCCCAGTCTCCCAGTGATTCTCCAGGACTTCTAGTCGCTCCAAAAAAAGTTGGCCATATCTACGAAGGAGCACTGCTTTGGTTTGAAATGGCTGTTGAGTATTTGAACTAGCTCGTTGTAAGTTAACGATTCCACCGTGTTAGGGTACGCTAAGTTACGTACTAAGCGATAAGTTTCATCGGTGAGATGAGTAAGCAGGATACCACTCTTAATTTCTTCTTTTGTCAATTATTTATCCTTAGGAACTGTGTTAATTTCCCATAAAATATTGACCATTCACTTGTTTTGTGATCGAAAACAAGCAAATTACCTAAATACGACATAATTTATTTTACGCGTAGGTATGTACAAAACTCGTCGCCAGTGAGATGTGTTGAACAAAGGAAACAGCCGTTTAGTAGCGAGGCTAGTTTATTACTGGCTGTGCTGCGCACCCCCAATACATATCAGACGAACTCGGGACTGATATACGAGTGCCATCAACGTTTGAATGAGGTATGTAAGCACAACAATGTGACTCTGCAGTGGGTAAGGGACACAGTGGATCTAGAGGCAACGATGCAGCAGATGAACTGGCCAGAAGGGGATCGGCCCTAGCAACTATAGGGCCGGAACCAATAATACCAATCCCCTTTGGCTACGTTCATTCACTGTACGTAGATACTTCAATAATTTACACGCTCAGCTTTGGAAAAATTTAGGAGACTGTAGACAAGCTAGGGAGGCCCTACCTGAAATAAGCAGCCGTGTAACCAAGGTTCTAATGAGACTGAACAAGCCACAGATCAGGATAGTAACAAGTGACATGACAGACATGGCTCTTTTAACAAACATTTGTTCACATCGCTCCCCCGAAGTTGCTTGCAACATCAAGGGACTGCTGAGCTTCTTCGGGGAGATATCATGGCTCGAATAAGCATATTATTCCTGCCCACATGCAAAATACGCGCTTAGACGTGGAGTTGCGCAAAACAGCCCGTCGTAAACTAAACTAACTAAACTATGTGCTCGAGCCACCCTCTTTCATTAGCATACCGCATGTTTTATAAGCTAAGTGTGTTAAAATGTAGTGGCAATGGGCCGAAGAACTGACAACCAATGGAGAAGAATAGTTCTCCTAACGTGAAGAAACTGTGGCAGTCTCGTGCCAGTAGACGAAATGTAGGACGGTCCCCCACTAGATGGAGTGACGACCTAGTAAGACATGTAGGAAGTTGATGGTTGCAGTCGGCTCAGGACTGTGCTTTGTGGTGTTCCTTGGGAGAGGCCTATGTTCAACAGTTGACTTGTGAAGAGCTGTAATGTTGATGATGATTCATTCACCTCATTTAGTGAGTGTTCTGCCACTATTTGTTTTTAGTAGATGAGTGCTTGCCAGTACAAGTACACCTTGAGCATCTTTTCTCCAAATAGTTTTTAGTATGAAGTGACAAACAAACTAACAGTCCACCTTATGGCATGTAGCTGAATCACCTGATGGTAAGTGGGTACTGCAGTCCACGGTAGCAATGGGCGTTGAATCAACGAACCGTTTAAATAGACGGTCTACGTTCAATCGACGCTTCGACGGTCTACAGTTCATTCGTTAACTAGTCGAATTCATAGACGGCTAGACTGAGAGTCCACAGCGTTCTTATCTACTGACAACGCGACGACGATGCCGTAAAGTGCATGGGTTCCTTGAATTAGTATCATTGAACAAACCAATTTGAATCTTAAGTATATGACATAGGAGTTGATGTTTCCTTTTTATTAGAACTATTAGAGTGAAAAGGCAAGAGTATTCTGATATTGCGCGAAAGAGTATGTCGACGGACTGGCCAAACGATTCAGTGCAGGGTAAACGGCATTATCCCTTAATAAGGCAAAGGGATATAGTTTCCCACCAAGACTATTTTGAAAAACATGTTTATTTTACATGAAAGATAGCCCATAGAATGAACGCAACCGAAATATACTATTCTTTAGAAGATTTTAAATTTCATAACTTGCAACACTTTTCAAAAAATGACTACCTTATATTGAAATGTCAATGTCAAAGTTCAGTGACGTGAAAAAGTGCTAAAATAACGGTCGATTTTTGGTTACTTCCGAGAAAAAATCTTTTATTGTTCAACGAAAAATCTTGTAAGTAGATTATGTTTCCATCTTTTATGAAATGACAACTTTAGCTATGTTTTTTTATTGATTTTATGCGTATAACATTGATAACAGCGTTAAAATCTGCGAAATACTAAGTGGGAAAATTATTCCCTTGGCCCGATTGAGTTTATAATTTATTTCTTATTATATATATGAAAGTTTGAACTCACAAATATGTCAATACAAAATACAAATAATAATAGAATGCTGAAATTTGAATGAAAGTAAGCTTCTTAGGGGATGTAGATGTGATATTTACATGTAATAATTTATTTGTAGGATTCACCATGAATAAAAAAACAAATTTAGGGAAACGGGAGTTAGAAGATATCATGAACAACCTGTCAGATTTATCCGATCTTGACTCAGATGATGATGCCTATTACCAAACAGCCCCTGTAACCAGCCCGGCAGATTACCAGAATGAGTCTCAAGATGTTATTGTTGAAAGGCGTCTTGAAGAGTTGTTTGGTGTATCTGATAACTTGGAAGAAACTATTGAAAGCCAAGAAATATATTCAGTAGAAGCACTCACAGATATTTTAGAAATAAATAGTCCTAGACCTATTGGTAGTGTGGGTGAGACAACAGGATAATATGATGTTCTCCCAACAGAGGAAAATATTGCAACTTATGAAGAAAACTTTGTTATGGATAGCAACCAACGAGAAACTGAAATAGAGCAATGCTTAGATGATATCCGTGAAGAACACTCCCACTATACTCCAATATCTACAGATGACTTAAGTGCAAGACCTTCAAGCAGTAATGTTATTGTAACAGAACCGGATCGTCGCTCAAGATCAAGCAGAACTATGAATACAGTAAGACAAACAAGGGAGTTGAAAATTGAAACAGAGATACACAATGTTCCTGAATTTACCAATTCAATTCAACCACAATCAACATATAGTCATAAAACGCGGCCTATCGATGTTTTTCAAAACTTTTTCCCAGAATATTTAGTACAAGTTCTAGTGGAACAAACAAATAGATATGCGGTTCAGAATAAAAGCAATAATTTTACACCAGTATTATCAAAGGAAATGAAAGCTTACCTTGGAATATTAATAATGATGGGGTTAAACCCATTGCCTGATATGGAGCTATATTGGTCTAATGACCCTTTTTACAATAATGCAGAAATTTCAAAAATTATGCCTATCAAAAGATATAAAAAAATAACTGAAAATTTACACATAAATGACAATGAAAAAGAACCAAATAGGAACTCACCGGAATACGATAAAATGTACAAGTTGAGACCAATGATTCAAGAGCTTAATAAATTGTTCCAGCAGGAAACAGGTAATTCAAGTAAACAATCAATAGATGAATGCATGGTGAAGTTTAAAGGAAGATCATCTTTAAAGCAGTATATGCCAAAGAAGCCAATCAAGCGTGGCTTCAAAATCTGGGCACGTTGTGATTCTGTAACCGGCTATCTGTACCAGTTCGAAATTTATACCGGGAAAGGAGACAGTATGGAAGACGAGGGACTGGGGTACAATGTGGTTAAAAAGCTGTCAGTCGGCCTTCCTGAGAACACTCTGATAGCGTTTGATAACTTTTTCACTAGCTGTAACCTAATGGAATATTTGTACGAAAATCAAATTTTTGCTGTTGGTACAGTTAGAGTAAATAGAAAAGATCTTCCGGAAATTTTTAAAAAGTCTCAACCAAAACATTTAAGACTTGAAAGGAACCAATTTGCAGCTGTAACTGCTAAACCAATTACAGCAATCAAGTGGCTTGATACAAGGGATGTTAATATTCTTACAACAGCTCACCATCCAACTGACACAGTATTTGTAAAGAGAACTCAGAAAGATGGTACTAAAAATAAAGTTCTCATCCCCACATCTATCGCTCAGTATACGCTCACCATGGGAGGCGTCGATCACTTTGATCATTTCAGATCATCATATCCGATCAATAGAAAATGCAGGAAATTTTGGATGAGATTGTTTTTCTTTATGTTTGATGCGGCAATCATAAACAGCTATATAACCTACAATACTGTGCATGTAGCAAGTACTCATTCTCATAGAAATTTTCGATTGCGATTGGCTCGTGAGCTGATATCAAATTACTCTAACAAGGTAAAACGCCAGGTTGTTTTCAAAAACAAAATGGGCTCCAACTTTGGAGTTCCAGATGCGATACGTTTACTCAATGTCGGCGTCCATCTTCCAGATGAAGGAAATACTTACAAAAGATGCCGATTTTGTAGCACAAAAAAAGAGGAGAGAAGAACAAAAATAGTATGTTCCACGTGCCAAGTTGCACTATGTGCAAAGAAATGTTTTAAATTATTCCACGAGGCTTCACCCCAAGAATAATTATATTTTTAACACGCTTTTAGCTTACTCGTAATTAGCTATATTAATTATTAGAATAAAAATGCGATTGCAATACCGCTTTTTATTTAGCATGCATGATAATATTCATAGGTAAATAAAATAAAAGTTCGTAACGCATTAAAAAAAAAATTAAAAAATAAATGAAATGAAAAAAAGCGAAACCAGGTGAAATACTAGTATATGAATAACAACAAAACTAGGCATAATTCCCTTTGCCTAAATAGGCGAAGGGAATTATTTTCCCACTTCGAGACACAGTGCACATACATAATCGGGCAAAGGGATATTATTTCCCACCCAAAAAAAGGGGGTAAAAAACCATCCCCCCTTTTTTCAAAATACTTTTTTTAAATTCTGCAGTATCTATTTACACTATTTCCACTGTAACTTACTTTCTAGCTGTAACACAGGCGCGAGCCTTATTAAGGGTTATTATTGTTTACCTATACTTTGTAGAAATTTGAAATTAGTGTGTCTACTCGCGTCGCAAGGTCAAAGCTACAGGAGTCGTACGTGACTCGCGAATGCGAATATAGGCGAACGAGACTAACGTCAAGCAAAGTTGACCAATTTATGTCCCTAAATGTAAATACACCTGAGGAGAGATTTAAAGGGTTTTAAATTCATTCATCAAATAATTTACACGATTCTTCTGTACATACATTGATAAATAAAAAAAGGAAAAAAATATTCATTAAAACACCTATCCATAAAAATATGTAAATAAAAAATTATATATGTAGTACATAAAATCAGTTATCTTCTATAATTACGCCTGAAATACGATAGTAGTAAAATCTTTTCAAAGCGTATTCAGCCAATCCTAAGCCTAGAAAGGTATTAAGGGAAGTTTAAATTGATTGATTGTACAATTCGATAGTAGGTATTTCTACACCAGTCAAAGTGCTTTGTGCTCACATCAAATTTCTTTGAATTTTTAACTAATTTTGCAGTTTATTCAACTGTCGCGAATAGTGGGTAAAACTAGTTAAGACACTGTCGTCGTACCGTTGCGCCCGTAGACACCACGCTTTAGTCGAATAAACGTCTGACGTTATCGCGTTAACTAGTCGACATATTCAACTAGTTGATCACCTAATCGATGGACGGCAATAGACGGTCTAGTTTCGTTGATAAAAATTACGTCGACGACTCACCTCTAGTCCACGGACTGCCTGCAGCTGACTTCAAACATAAAAGGCTACAATGTGCTGACACCTCTGACAACTAGGATGCAATGCGCCACAGCCTGTGATTATACTGACTCTATATATAGTGCATGCACTACTATTTGACGACAGAAATAGGTAAGAGAAAGGAGTCCATCAAGGTTAAGAAATTGGCAAAGATATGTGGTAGCCAGTTGTAAACAAGGTCAAAACGTTTATAAATATATTTATACATAAGTAAAAGAAAATGTCTAACAAAGCTTATTATGATGTCCATGTATGTTTATCTTTCAAATAATTATTTGATTTCTTTTTTTCCTTCCCCATGAGTGCATTTTACATGCACTTTGCCATCTTTATATTGTGTACATTGGGCTACAGTAACCAATTGTCATAAGATAAATTGTACCTTATTTTAATAAGATCAAAAAAAGAGTATATGTTACCTTTCTCATGATTCCCATTTACTTCAAATTTGGAATTTTCATATTCCAAATTCTCTTCCTCAACTTTAAAAGATTCAAGGTTGAAAATGTTATCCTTACAATCATTTTCTATATCATACTCTACTGGCCAGATATCTATATGATAAACTGGTGTGAATTGAATCTTATCTCTAGCCTCATACGGTTTTGGTATTGACTGAAACCAAATTATTTTTTTAAATAAGAGAAAAAATCCAGTGTAGTGGTGGCGTAGGAGAATCCACACTACCACATACCATCCCGCAGATGTTGTAAGAAGGGACAGAAGGAAACTGAAACATGAGATGGGCAGCAGCAACTTCCTGACAACAAGTTCAAATAATAATGAAAACCGGAAAAAAGTGACCTGATGAAAACCGAGTGAAGCCGGCCACAGTCGAGCGTGTACCTGGTGTAATACCATATGTCAGAGGAGTCACAGACAAGGTTGGCTACATCTTGAAGCGAGCTTCTATTAAAACATACTACAAGCCGCTGAAGAAGATTAGTCAATTTTTACCATCCGTCAAGTGTAATATCCCTCTACAAGATGCAGGAGTGTACAAGTTAGATTGTGAATGTGGTCTCTCTTACATAGGTCAAACAAAAAGATCCATAAAAACCCGCGTGAAAGAACATATAGCTGACGTGAAGCACCGACGCTCCGGGAAGTCTGCAGTCTGCGAACATGTTCAAGATCGTCCCCACCATTACATTCGTTTTGATAAACCACAAATTCTCGCAAAAGAACACCGATCCCTACCAAGGATGATACGCGAGGCTATTGAAATTAAAAAACATCCAAATTTCTATAGAGAAGATGGATGGGTGCTGCCACTTGCTTGGGATCCTATAATTAACAAAATTAAACCCAAACCTAAGCATACCACTGCAAGACTTCATGATACTATAAGCTCGTTTTGCGTAAATCGGACCAAAAATTAATATTCAAAAACTGAAGGTAGCCGGACTAACTGACATTGGGACGTCAAACATCTCAGTCCCCCCCCCGTGACCATGGTTGCTGTAAAGCACCCGAAACGTCGGGAATTAAAAATAAGTAAAAGTAGTGAAATAAACGCGATAAAATCCGTAAATTTACTTTTATTCAATGTGTCGTGTTCGCGTAAATTTAAGAAATCATTAACCGGAAAAAAGTGAGGATTCAGAATAAAGTTAAATAATATCCATCCCAACTATCGAGTCTCAACAATCATTCTTTTCAGACTCATGAATGCTGTAAACTAACAAAGATTTATATTTGTTCACTGCGTGATGTTACCTATAGATAATATTTCATTTATATACAAAGAGTAATATACGAGTATAACATAAATTATTTATGTAAAAATAAGTGCTTAACTCACTGTAATTTTTTTTATAGAATAGGGTGACAAACGAGCACACAGTCCACCTGATGGTAAGTGGGTGCTGCGGCCCATAGACATCTACATCTATCCTCCATTAAAAATCAAAATGCAGATGCGTTGTCACCCGTGAGGACTGAGATGGAATGTCTCGTTTCCAGTAAAAAGGGTCTCCGGTTCTCTACACTCACCATACGAAATACAGCAGCATTAAGCTACTATTTCACGCTGGTATTCTGTGAGAGCGTGGTCCTTCCCCGGTCGAGCCGACCCATTCGTGCTACGACTATACGTCTAATATAACTGCAGCATGGCTCTACCACATATAAATGTCGCGACAATATTGCATTTTGTGCGACATATTTCCGACAAATGCGGATAAATTATTTTATGATCAAGCCACCACTGTGAGGGGCTATTCCAATTACGTCGTCAATGTACATTTGTAACTCACGAATTGCTCTTGCTTCAGCGCTTCCTTGTGGCTTATTTTTTCCTTAACAAATCGTCAAATTTGTCCCAAGCACTGAGGTTTTCGAGGGGCCTTTCTTGAACCTCAGCAGTACTTGCTTCAGAATTTTCATTTTTATTTATAACTTTTATAAGGCCTATTATTAAGCCATGGACATATTTTTTTAATTCGTTCTTAAAACACATTCGTGCTACAACTGTACTACTAATATAACTGCAGCATGGATCTACCACGTAAACTTCGTACCACGTACCACGTAAAATTCGTTAAATGTAGAACATTGCTTTCTTGTATGGCAAAGGGAAACAGCATAAAAGGCGCGAGACAGATAGTGATCATCAAGGTGCCTGCTAAGTGATGATTAAGGCAAATATTTCATTATACCTATATATCTACCCACGGGACGGGTCGTAAGAGGCAACAGAGGAAAACAGAAACAGCAGTTGGGCAGCAGCATCTTCCTGATAACAACTCAGACTAATATAAACTGTGGTTGCCGACCTGCCAAGCGTGGCAAAATCCCTCATATGAAACACTATATGAGGCACTTTTACAGGTTTTAATGGATGGAATAAATAATACCATGGACCCTCCTGCAAGCAACTGCTCCAGAACTGCATTCGACTCAATAACCTGTTGTTGCAATCTCCTGCAGCGAACGAGTCTCGCATGACAGGTGAAACAGACAATTATGGGCTCCTCATCCTCATCCCTCTGAAAATATCAAAGTTCATCATAAATATGGGAAACTGCTTAAATATACAAGTTAATAATAATATCTATTGGCTACCACAATTCTCTTCATCTTTTTTTTAATAATATTGAAGTGACTGGCTCTCAATGTCCTTCAGGCTGGGACACATACTGCTGCTTGTGGCAGAAACAGGTAAGAGGATGATCACTGCGCAGGCAGACTTCCAGGCAGCAACAAGTCCTACCACATAGTGAATCATCATCACTGCAACAACACACTCCTAAACCACCTAAATCCATTGACTGCCTGTGTTACAAGATTGGCACTATCTAGTGGGAGGCTAGTCTACAATTTTTTACTTACCTGAATGTTGCTATCGCTCGAGAATTATGTTTCCCTTCTGATGTCAGTTCTGCAAGCTATATGGACACAATTCTCTAACTGATTTAAAACATTTATTTATTTTATTCTTTATTGCATCCTTAACAAAAGAATACAAAGGACGGACTTAATGCCTTGAGGCATTCTCTACCAGTCAACCCATGGAGTGGTTAGAGTTTGACGTAGGTGTGGCAATATAGAATAAGATAACACAATACAAATGATAATTAACTACATAATATATACAAACTATGTCGTGAAGCGACAGTTAAAAACTAAGGAACCTAACCTAACAACGAAACAACCAAAAAAGAAAATAATTTATTTAAAATTTGTAAAGATATTTACAGTTTCTTTTATAAAATGTAAAGCCACAATTAAAAACTATAGAACCTAACCTAACAACGAAACAACCAAAAAAGAAAATAATTT